CCAATAAATCTCAAATTTTAATATGTTAAACCATTTGGTCCTGCCTTTTATTTTGTAGACTAATAAGTCCTATGTGAATGTTAAAAGCTCACTATAGGCCTTTTTTAGATTTCCCTCATTTCTGAACATCAGCAACATTAATTACACCAACAACATCATCAAACATCATTAAACATCATCAAACATCATCAACATCACCAACATCATAAAACATCATCAAACATTATCAAACATCAACTACATCATCAAAACATCTACAACATCACCAACATTGTGAACATCATCAAACATCAAAAACATCAACTACATCATCAAACATCATCAACATCACCAACATCATAAAATATCATCAACATCATTAAAACATCAACTACATCATCAACAACACCAACATCATAAAACATCATCAAACACCAACTACATCATCAAATATCATCAACATCACCAACATCATAAAACATTATCAAACATCAACTGCAACATCACCGACATTGTGAACATCATCAAATATCAACTACATCTTCAACCTCATCAAACATCATCAACATCATCAACAGCATAAAACATCATCAATATCATCAAACATCAACTACATCATCATACATCACCAACATCAACGACATTGTGAACATCATCAAATATCAACTACATCTTCAACCTCATTAAACATCATTATACACCAATATGGGATACAATATATTGATGTTTATACAATATAACAAACAAAGATACCATACCAAATATAAAATATAACAAACAAAGATACCATACCAAATATAAAAAGGACTAAATGGTTTACAAAAAAACACTCAGGATTAGATAGAGCAACATTTCCCAATATGGGATTTATGAGTAATTTTTCCAAATTGTTTATGGTAATACTTTTTATTTTCAATAATAATATTTGATGTTATAATGAAACTCAATAGATTTTAATAGTCAAATATAATATATAATTTATACGAAAAATTATAATAGTCAAATATAATATATAATTTATACAAAAAAAAATTTCAAAAGTATAAAAGAAAAACCCAAACAAATATATAAGGAATAAGATTCAAACATGAGCAGGGCGATTATCCCTTGATAAGATCCAATATAATATTTGTCAATAGGAGTAAGGATCCCTAAAAAACAACCTTTATTGAGAAGGAGGAGGATCTCCTGCTATTTGATCCCGTGAGGCCCACTACGGGTCCCATTTCTATGATCTGAACCGTTTCTTTTGTTAGGAACTTCGTTTATTTCATCCACAAAAAAAAATTAGGTTGATCCCATAACTCTAACTTGTTCAATTTTTCACTAAAAAAATAGACAACAATTATGCTTTTAAAAGTAAATCATACATTTTTTTAGTGAGAAACGTAATAAACTGGACAAGTTATAATTATGGAATCGACCTAATTTTTTGTGTAGATGAAATACACAAAGTGCTTGACAAAATAAACGGTTCAGATTATCAAAATGGGACCCATGATGGATCTCACGGACCCAAACAACACCCTTCAGTCCAATCCAATGGAGAAAAGTTATTGTGGAGAAGGATGAAGGTAAAGGATTTGAATATTTACCTTGGAAAAAGTGTTAGAAAAGGTAAAATTGTGGGCCTTGATTGTAAAGACAGTAAGTTTAGAAAATTGTGGTGGAAATATGATTTTAAAAGTTAGATATGGATTAAATATTAACTTATGAATTGATGTATGGTTTAGGTGATTTGCCATTAAGCTTTCCTCTCACAAGAATGCGATCACGGAAGTATGGAATGGAATTGGTATTGTGTGTGCTAAAATTTGATGACAGAACTAAATTGCATCCTTTATAAAGATTCAGTAAACAAAGTCATAAAGTACGTGCACTAGATGGAATTCAAAATTTGAAACAAAGAACAAAAAAGTTAAACTAGTTGTTACTAACTAGGAGGACACTCTGACGATTAAGTTAGTAACAATATATCTCAAAGACTATCAAACAGTAACAACTCAAGCAATTAACTCACCAGTAAAAACTTATATTTAACCCACATGTGCCTCTTTTTATACTAGCGGTAACCCGTGCGATGCACGGGCAAGTAACAAAAAATGGCAAATAATGTTAAACATGCTAAAAATTAACAATTAAATACTATGATATTTATTTAGATGGGTATTGAAATAATATATTTAGTGATCTTACTATATTTAATTAAATAAATTTTAGAAGAAAAAAAAGTTGAACTGAAAATTAAGAGTAAGAGTGGATTCTGTAAATATAAGATATAGATAAAAACAAATTAAGTTTAAATTTGAAGATAAACTATAAATATATATATATATATATATATAAGAAAATTAGACAAATCCTAGAAAAATAGGTAGAGAGAAATTCGTTATGAAAAAAAAAAAAACAAAGTTGAAATTTAAAATTAAAAAATAGATAAAGACAAACTTGAAAGAAAAATAAATCTAATATAACTCAATAACAGAAGAAATGGAGAGGGTAATAATTAAAAAATTAGATAAGAGTGAAATCCACTTACTAATTTTTTAAAATTTGTAAAAAAAAAAAAAACTAAAATAAAATCGAGTATAGTATGTTAAAAAATCAATAAGACTTAAGTGCCACTTATAAATTTTTTTTAAATTTTAAATTTGTGTAGTTAAAAAATAAGCAATATGTTATTTTATTATACCAAAATTTAACTCTATTTTGTGTCTACTACCTGATAATTTAATCAAATTTTGTTTTCTAGAAGCTACTTAATTGAAATAAGAAAGAATAAAAAATTATAAAATATAGAAAGTTGAAAATCAGATAAAAATAGAAATAAACTAATTAAAAATCAAAAGCAAGAATCGATCCTGAAATATAAGATAAAAATTTAAAAAAAAAATCAAATGCAATTTTGAAGATAAATTATACGAATATAGAAAGAGAAACTTAGAATAAATTGCAAAAGTAAAAAAAGAGGCAAAAATAAACATAATATGAGATTTAAAACATGTTGCTTCTTTTCACATAAGATGATAAAAAATTTGTTGCATAATGTGCCTTAAATCCACCCGTTTAATTTCTTAGAACGTTATTTTTTTTCCAATCTTTGCCTAATTTCATATTGTCATAGAAGTTTAGGTTTTGAGATTATAAATTTATTTATTTATTCAAAATCCTTGGTAAGACTAAATGATGAAGAATTTGAATTAAAGTCAAACTTCATCTTTTATTTTTAAATATTTTTGAAAATCTTTTTCCTTTAAAATATTTTGAAAATCTTTTATATCCATGCCATAAGTAATTTAAAAAAGTGAAATAAAAAAAATAAAAAAAGATAAGAAAAAATAGGAAAATAGAATGAGAGAAGAATGATGTGCCACGCTAGGAAAGAGGTTCATAGATGTTAGGATTGAGAGTTTTGTTTTTGATGAAGAAATTTGAATTAGAGTCCAAACTCATCTTCTATTTTTAAATATTTTGAAAATTTTTATCTTTAAATATTTTGAAAATCTTTTATATCCATGCCATAATAATTAAAAACGTGAAATAAAATATAAAGAAAAAATAGGAAAATTAGAATGAGAGAGAATGAATGTGCCACATAGGAAAGAGGTTCATGAGATGTTAGGATTGAGAGTTTTGAATTTTTTAAAATTTTTTACATGCTATTTTTTTTTTCGTTATATTGATTCAATTAAACACAAATAGGTTTGGAATGATTATAAGAAAAAATTTAAAAAATGTTTGAAAATGCATTAACTTTGAATTGACAAACATAAAGATATAAATAAAATTATTTCAAAAAAAATTAACATTTAAATATGAGATATTCTTCCATTTGCTTAAACTTTGAATCTAAAATAATATAAATAAAAAATTAAACAAAGAAGAAATTTGTGGTTTAGTTCTTTCAAAGGAAATGAGTTTAAAAACTAAAAATATTTAATCATGATTATTTCAATAGTATAATCACACATAAAAAATCAACTGCAGAATTACATTTAAAGTATAACCATATCAATAAAATTTATTCTTCATTTCAATCTAACATCTACACCAAAAAAAAAAATTAAACACCAAAAAATCAATAGTGAGAAGTACAAATATAA